GGAATCCCTGGGATACTACATAACCTCCACATTAAATGAGTTAGTTCGAAGAAATTCACAGACTTTGCCTTGAGGTCCAAGATAGATTCCGCAACTGTGATTCCTTCGATTGGCAATTCAGGGGAAAATGCGAGTCTCAGGAAGCAACTGAGAAGGAACAGCTGCAATCACTGGGGTAAAAAACTTTATTTGCCTGACGTTTCGGATTCCGTCGCGGATCCATCATCAGAGACAATAACAGAAACGGGTCCCCCAAGATTTGGCAGTCTAGACCATCGAGTTACTCCTCGACGCAAATATGACGAGGCGGGAAATTGCCTCGGACACGCCCAAATCCTGCAGCTCCTGAAGTTCTTTCTCAGGATGTACTTCACTTTTGACGACACAGTGTACGAGCAAGTGAAGGGAACATAGCTAAGGCGGTCCTACAACGGGTAGAGTCGCTGATTTCCCAACACCACAGACTAAAATTCTAGGGGCCTGAGGTGAATGATACCTTCGTCGTCATCGAAGGGAGCAGGTGCTGACGTTCAAAGAACGTTTAACAGCGTCTTTTCGGACATAAAATTTGCGATAGAAGAAGACAACTAGCTGGCTTTCCTTCATGTGCTCATTTGCTGCAAAATTGGTGGCCTAAAGACTAAAGTATTCAGTGAAGCGACAGACAGGATGCAAGTACTGAGCTTCAACAGCGAGACCCGTTTATGTTATTGTCTCTGATTATCGATCCGCCACGGAATCCGAAAAGCCAAGCGAGTACACCTCTTGCCTCAGTGATTGCATCTGTTTCTTCTCGACTCCTCGGATCTCTACAAAGTGAAACGTTATTACTGAGGGTTTTTAGAACATGTTTACCGTCCCCCCTTTATGTGGCAATTGGCCTGCCCTTCGGAAAACGTTATGGATTCAGTTCCGAGGCCGGGCAGCATAAAGGCAAGAGGTGCCTGCAGCAGTTAGGTGGAGGGTTCGGGTCTCTTCGGCAATGGCACCCAGAAGAGTTCGAAGTAGCATAGAACGCTGAGATTGAACCTTAAAAAGATCTGCAGTTCTTTTACAGACCTTGAGAAGTGCGAATAAAAGAAGGTGCAGGACCAGCAACACATGAGTATTATCAATACTACTGTGACGGCACTTGCTACCCATATCCTGGCATTATTAAGTCATGTTCCTGCTGCAATGGGCGTACATGGTTTCCTGAGCGGGGATTTACTCTGCCACAGTAAGAGCACTGCGGGTTCGATGCGATGCGGTTGGGCTCATGTTCGAGAAATTAACGCTGAAGAAGATACCCTGACAGCTATACTGCCGGCAGAGACGCGAAACGAGGATTTTGCATTAATGACACCATCATAACCCTTGGCCTAGACAAGACCAATATGGTGGCGTGGGTCGACCAGAGAGATACTTCCTCTCGTCCCTTCCCGTTATTCACCTTTAATTTGTGGCTCTACGAAGCCGTACTCAACACGGCGATCGACAGACAGGCTGAAGCAGACCCTTGCTTCACCGACTTTCTGAAATCGTATGGTGAAACAGTGACAAATACGGCTCCGTGGAGGGTCCACTCAACCCCGTTTGATTTATGTGCCAAGGGGCGGTGGTGGACAGATACACAGAAAAGGACAGATTACGAACCAGCGGCCGATCGTCCTTGTCTGTCTCCACGAATTCCACCTTGTCCAGGGTGTCCAGTCCACCAACAACCCTAAGTGCTCCAAAGATGGTAAGAAAATGACTTACTTTCCAAAAACCGTATGTTTCTTGTTCAATTGGTTGCATGGCCTAAAGGTAATAAAGCTATTCACCGTAGGGGCCAATTAAAAAGAACCTACAATTGGGACTTGTTGGAGTTTGGTCCTGAGTTGGCCATGGAGAGGACACCACGAGAGTCATGCTTCAACTGCGGTTGGAACTCGTCGGCAAAAGCACCACCCCAACAGGAATCACCACCTAGACCAGTTCCGGTCGGATCACCGCTCTGTATCTAGGAGGGCGGAAAGATAGAAGACCATCCATGCTGCTTATATTTTACGTACAATAAAGTGTCGAATCACACGATGGAAAATACAGTCCACAAAGTAGCCAGATTCACAGAGGCGAATGAAATTTTCACAGGTCTTCGGCGTCAATTCGCAGTGCAGCTCGAGATTGAGATTGCCGTGGGTGGTCACAAGGCGTGCATAGCCCTTGGACTTCACATATCGATAACGCACCACATCGTCCTCAAGAACAGCTAGACTTAGTTAGGAG